CCGAGACGGGTACGGAGAAAATGGGCACAATGCCCAACAGTAAATGATGCCCCAAACCAACAGCGGCCGCCGTTGGGCATGGGTACGGAAAAAATTGGTACAATGCCCAACAACAAAGGTTGCCCCAAACCATCAGCGGCCGCCGTTGGGCAGGCGGCCTTTTGTCTCAAATGAGCACAGGTCGCGGCGGCGCGGACAGCGAGTCCTGTTCAAGCTGAGCAGGAACTGCTGTTGGGCATTGTACCCAATCTTCCCGTACCCATCTCGTTCGGCGATGGTCCGTGGACCGACGCGCAACGCCACGCGCGCACCTGCTGCAAAGTGCCAGTGCTCCCAGGACTACCTGCCGCAAAAGTTGCCGCAACATTGAGGTTGCACTAAATACCAACGCTTCGCAGGCCCGCACGTTCATCTCAAGAGGATGTCTCGAACGAGAGCTGTATCTTCGGCATACACGGTCATCCATTCCCATCAGCATCGGGAGCGCCCCGGATCGGCGGCTCTGGCCAAAGGCCACTACAATACCGACGGCTCGCAAGCCAGCGACATCGAGCGTAAGCAAGGCGCGGCCATGAGGGCAAAGCGCGTACGAAACAACTACAGTCGAAATCCTGCCACGAGGGGTCGCTGAGTTGATCGAGAATGACGGGGACTAGGAGCAGGAAAAACAATAACCTCCAAGCCCATTGCGAACCAAAGGTGTTCCTGATTTGAACACGTTGCAACGTTCAGCAGATATACGATGATTGCAGCAACTACGCGCAAGCATGTATCGAGCTGTCTGGCACAATCGCGTCGCAGCTGGACTGCTTACGAGCGCGCCAGCTGACAAAGGAGACATAGACAGTGGATCTAGATCAAGATGGCACGCACTCCACGCAAATGGTTACTACCGATGCTGGACGAGATGTGCGTGGTCACCATCGGCATCGTCGATACTACTCACCACCATCATCATCATCATCATCATCATCATCATCATCAGCATCGACATCAGAATCATCATCATCAGCAGCAGCATCAACATCATCATCAGTATCATCAGCATCATCAGCATCATCGTCACCATCACCATCATCGTCATCGTTATCATTATCACCACCATCATCATCATCAGCATCATCAACATCATCATCATCATCATCATCATCATCATCATCATCAGCATAATGGTCAACATCAGCAGCATCGTCATCATCATCAGCAGCACCATCAGCACTATCAGCATCAGCATCATCATAAACATCATCAGCATCACCACCATCATCGCCATCATCATCGTCATCATGCTGGCATCATCATCATCATCTTCATCATCATCGCCAATTTCAGCATCAACATCGTCGTGTCATCATCATCGCCAGCATCAGCATAACAATCATCATCATCATCACCACCATCAGCATCAGCATTATCAGCAGCATCAGCATCATCAGCATCATCAGTATCACCAGCATCATCATCACCATCATCATCATCAGAGTCATCATCAGCAGTAACATCGTCATCAACAGCATCCTCCTCCTCATCATCATCATCATCATCATAATTCGACTGATTATCTGCGCTTGTCCTGATCACACTCAAACAACATGCTCTCACGTGCGCTCAACGTTGATCCAAAAATTGCATTCGTCCTGGCTTGTGAATCTGGGTACAGCACCGGCACGTCATGCTACCTTGACTTATGCGATTCCATGAAATCACCACCCTGCACGGACCACTCCTCCTTCTCGGCTGAGCTTGCGCTGGCCGCCTGTATCCCCCTCGCGGCCGCGTACGCTCAAGACGTTTTTGGCCCCCTCCGCGTCGAGCTTTGTCCTCTCCCTGAAAGCCTTGAAATTACCCGGGTGGTAATCCAACTTGCCGGCATCGGTGAAATGGACAATATCTCGGCGGCGCGGAAATGGAATGGGGCAAACGATAGAGGGAAGGATGACAGGGGAAGAGAGGGAGGATAGGGGACGGGAGGGGAGGAGAGTGTGGTGGAAGAGGGAGGGAATGGGGGGGAAACGGTGAAGGGGGGGTAGGAGACGGGAGAGGGGTGGACGAACGAGGGAATGAAAAATGCAGGGACGGTGGGAGGAGGGGAGGGGAAGAAGGGCGGGGACAATAGTTTGAGCAATGAGGACGGTTGAATGTGTGGTTACACGTTGCATCTGCGTCCTCCCTGCAGCTGCTGAAGCAGAGGGACATCTTTTCCTCTAGTGTTGGCCTTTCGTGTTCACGGCAGAGCGCTAGCAGCGAGAACTGCAAGTTTTAAGGGCCCGGCCTAGTCGTTTCCCCCCCCTTCTGGGGTTTCCCGGGCTGGTTCCCGTGAGTTCTGAGGTGGACGATGTGCCCCCCCCAAGCGACCTCCGGAACCCTCCCATGAGTCCAAGAGGGCCCCGAGTCACCGAACGATCGCTCCAGGACACCCAAGATGGCCTCAAGATGGCCCAAGAGGCCTCCAAGACGCAACAAGACGCCTTCAAGAGGCCTTCCAAGAGGGCTCCAAGAGGCAAACATCATTGATTTTCCTCGGGTATTTGAAGGATTTGGGCGTTCTCGCCGTTTCGGCTTTCCGACGCTCCAAGACGGCCCAAGAGGCCCCCCATTACCACCCCAAGACGGTCCAAGAGACCTCCGGCCTCCAAGACAGCCTAAAAGCGCCCCAAGACGGCCCAAGAGGCGCCCAAGACGGCCCAAGGGGGTCCGAAGACGGGACTAAAAAGAGACCAACGAAGGGAACACGAACCGAGAATCAGAGCCCTCCGCCCCAAGAGGCCCCCAGGAAGCCCCAAGAAGCGCCCAAGAGGCCCCAAGAGGAACCCCAGAGCCCCAAGAGGCCCCAAGAGGCCCCAAGAGGGCCCCATGAAGCCCAACAGAGGCCCCACGAGGCACCAAAACAGCCCCCAGGAGGCCTCAAAACTGCCTCCAGGAGGTCCCCGAGAGGCCCCCCACGAGACACCAACGAACATCAAATAGGCTTTATATCATAACCTAGGCATGGTGGCCTGATGGGCCAAAGAGCACTTGATCCGCCGCCCCCTGTTGTCTTGCCTCAAGGGTGCCCGGGGTGCCCCGCGTGCTGGACATTCTGGAAGGTTTGTGGTCCCTAGGCCTTCGGCACAGCGCGCCGGTCACCCAGGAAACCTGGTTGCAAAGGTTTTCCTGCTATACATGGCTCCAAGATGGCCTCAGACGGCCTCCAAGAAGGCCAAGATGGCCTCCAACTTCGCCCAAGACGGTCCACGATGGCCCCCAAGACGGCCCAAGAGACCAAGATGCCTCCAAGACGGCCCTCGACAACCCAAGAGGCCCGAGGCCTCCCAGACGGCCCAAGACTTCTCCAAGAGGTCCTCCAGGAAAGCCCGACGAGGCCAAGACAATTGATTATGCTGTGGTTTTTGTTTCTGCTTCTGTTCTGTCTGTTCTGTCTGTTCTGTCTGTTCTGTCTGTTCTGTTCTGTTCTGTTCTGTCTGTTCTGCCTCCCGACGGCCCGAGAGCGGCCCAAGAGCCTCCCAAGGTCGCCCCCAGAGCACCCAAGAAGCCTCCAACCCCTTCCTCTCGCCCGCAACAGCGGCGGCCCCAACAGGTAGCCCGGGGGGGGTCCTTGCGCCTTTCTTTCATGGCTGGGAACAAGGGCGGCCCGCAGACCTGGAACTCGAGCGGTGCCACATTATCCCGGCAAAGCAACCTAACAGCGATGTGTAGGAGCATATCTGGAAGCATTCCCCTTAAGATTCAAATGAGAATCCAGTTGTAGAATTGTGCTGTTCTCGCAGTCGTAGTCGCATTCGCGATGACAGTCGCAGTGGCAACGGCAGTCACAGACACAGCCTCAGCCTCAGCCTGCCTCAGCCTCAGCCTCAGCCTGCCTCAGCCTCAGCCTGCCTCAGCCTCAGCCTCAGCCTGCTTCAGCCTCAGCCTCAGTCTGCCTTCAGCCTCGGCGTCAGCCTCAGACTGCCTCAGCCTCAGCCTGCATCAGCCTCAGCCTCAGCCTCAGCCTGCCTCAGCATCAGCCTGCCTCAGCCTCAGCCTCAGCCTGCCTCAGCATTCAAAATGTGGCCCGGGAATGGAATTCTGGGAACTCGAAGAACACGAAGTGGCCTACAGTTGGCTCCGGGCATTCAAATTCATGCCCAGGAATGGAGTTCTGGGAACTCGAAGACCACGAAGTGGCCTACAGTTGGCTCCGGGCATCCAAAATGTGGCCCGGGAATGGAGTTCTGGGAACTCGAAGAGCACGAAGTGGCCTACAGTTGGCTCCGGGCATCCAAAATGTGGCCCGGGAATGGAATTCTGGGAACTCGAAGAGCACGAAGTGTGTGACTGTTGCATCCGGTGGCCCGGGAATGGCACTCGAAGAGCACGAAGTGTGTGACTGTTGCATCCGGTTATTCTAAATGTGGCCCGGGAATGGCGTTCTGGGATCTCGAAGAGCACGAAGTGTGTGACTGTTGCATCCGGTTATTCAGAATGAGCCTGGGAATGGAGTTCTGGGAACTCGAAGAGCACGAAGTGTGTGACTGTTGGTGAAAAACGAGGTGGACTCAACCCGCCCGGCAACTCCCAACACCTGCCCGGACCCCCCTGTGGAGTGATCTGTGAGCTGTTTTTAGCCCACTAGAAACCTATCAGTCTTCGCTGTTAGGTAAAAAACTCTGCACTGCCAAATCTACCCGTTATATCCACCAAATGTCCGCATCAGTCGGACTGTTGCGGCTGAGGGTGCAGGAAACCTGAATCGATTGATCAATGTCTACCGCGCAACCTCGCGGAGCATCTCTCCAGAACTCTAATGTTCGAACGCAATCTTCACCTGCATTCCCCTGGCCATTTTCTTACACAGAGCAATGGACATGTCTTTACTTCAAGGTGGCTGCACAGAGTGGACGGGGCGATGGTAATGCGGGCACCTGTGCAGACATAGTCGAGAAACGCGGCGTCGTGGGAGATAATCATGGCGGTGCTCTGCGTTCCTCAACGGGTGAGCAACAATATAACGCAATTGCAATCGCCAAGGCGTAAACGATTGTAAAGAGACCAAACATTTAAACCATCCGCAAACTACCAACCGCCCTGGTCATCCATAAAATGCCATTGAGATTTGTACGCACCCGCCAAATTCCTTCTGCGACCAAATACTCCTGTAGCCACTTCACCGCCACCTTGTCCAAGTGGTTGGTCGGCTCGTCGAGCAAGAATACATCTGCTCCCTGCCAGAAACAGGAGGAAGCGAAGTAGGGAGAGATACGCTGAGATGGAGAAACAAGGAACGCACACTTAAGAGCACACACTCGCCCATGCCTCTGCGATTTTCTCTCGTTCCCCAAGCCACCTTAGCAGAACAACAGTACAACGACCGTGTCCTACAATCACCTTCGACGCGGTCACCCTATCCTGCGGTGGTACGATCCGCCGGCCAACTTGTGGGCCACCAGGTTGTAGGCCGAAGTGCGCTGCCCCCTGCACCACTCGCAGTTTCAAGTCTGCAATGTTACAATCCTGCGTTCTGTTTCCTACTGTAAACTGTTCTAGTCCGCGAGGGGGGGGAGCCCCAAACGACCCAGTTGCCACGGCTGGATCGCGCTATCTGAATTCACGGGGGGGCGTGGGACACTTAAGCAGACTTGAGATTCGCGCCCCCCGAAGCCATAATCGTTTGTAATTCTCGAAGCCACGATCCCATGTAAAGTATACAATTCATGCGTCCCCGAGGGGACAAGCCCGTGCGTGTGTTTCAAAATTCGCGCCCCCGAAACGACAAACCTTCGTAGAGTATGTAATTTTCGCCTCCCCAAAACCATCAAGTGTTTGCAGATTGCGCCATATTCGCACTGCCGAGGCCAAAAGTGATCCCAGGCGCCCGAAGATTGCTCCAAGACGGCCAAACAAGGCCCAAAAAGGCCCCAAGAGCGCCACAAGAGGCTTCCCGAGAGAGCCCCAAGAGGCCAACATCATAGATTTCATTATGGTTTTTCCTAACCATCCTGTGGTGTTGGGTCCTCGTTTTGAATAGACGGTCCCCGCGTTGATCCTCCCTCCATCCTTCCTCCCTCCCCTCCTCCCCTTTTTCCCCCTCCTCCCTGCGTTTCACCCACCCAGCACACCGTTCTGCGGCCCCATAGGGAGCTCCACCGAAGGCCCCAATGGCATGGTTCGCGTGGCGGTTTCGGGCCATTTCGGCACACACACACACACACCACGAGGATCGTGGCCCCATTGGGAGCTCCACCGAAGGCGCCAGTAGCAGGTTTAGCACGGCGGCCTCGGGCCATTTCGGCACACCCGTCACGAGGATCGTGGCCCCATAGAGAGCTCCACCGAAGGCCCCAGTGGAAGGGTTCGCATGGCGGCCTCGGGCCATTTCGGAGCACCCGTCACGAGGATCCTGACCCCGCTGGAGCTCCACCAGAAGCGCCAGTGGCAGGGTTCGCACAGCGGCCCTGGGCCATTTCGGGGCACACCCCTCACGAGGATAGTGGGCCCCCTACAGATTCCACCGAAGGCGCCAGTGGCAGGGTTCGCACGGCGGCATCGAGCCATATCGGGGCACCCCTCACGAGGGTCACGGCCCCATAGGGAACTCCACCGAAGGCCTCAGTGACAGGGTTCGCACGGCGGCCTCGGGCCATTTCGGCACACACCTCGCAAGGATCGCGGCCCCATAGCTCCACCGAAGGCCCCAGCAGCAGGGTTCGCACGGCGGCCTCGGGCCATTTCGGCACACCCGTCACGAGGATCGTGGCCCCGTAAAGGAACTCCACATAAGGCGCCAGCGGCGGGGCTCGCATGGCGGCCTCCGGCCATTTCGGCACACCTCCCACGAGGATCGTGGCCCCGTAGGGTGTTCCACCGAAGGCGCCAGTGGCAGGGTTCGCATGGCGACATCGGGCCATTTCGGCACACCCCTCACGAGGCTCGTGGCCCCATAGGGAGCTCCACCGAAGGCGCCAGTGGAAGGGTTCGCATGGCGGCCTCGGGCCTTTTCGGCATACCCATCACGAGGATCGTGGCCCCATAGGCGCCCCACCGAAGGCGCCACTGGCAGCCTCCCTCATGGCTCTCAGAGCCCTCTCGTGCTTCTGCTCCTTGGTCAGGGGGACGCCGTCCTCGTCGTCGTCGGCGCCCGCGAATACGGCCACGAACGTGTCCCTGAGCATGTCGGGCTCCGGCGGGATGCCATGGCCAGATAGGGAACGCGGGCGATTATGGTATTCAAAATTGCGGTATTCACAACTGCGTATGGTCGGGTCCTTCGCCAGGCGAATTGAAGGATTTCTGTCTTCTCGAATTTTTGGTTTTCCGACGCTCCAAGACGGCTCAACAAGCTTCCAAGACCGCCCCAAGACAGCCCAAGACGCCTCCAAGAGGGCCCCAAGACGGCCCAAGAGGGCTCCAAGATGGCCCAAGAAGCGCTCAAGACGGCCCGAGAGGGCCCGGCCCCCGGGGAAGAGAGCTCCAGAACGGAGAGGTACATCTCTCCCCAAAGGGGAAGAAAAAATCTCGAAAACCTAATTCGCTAAACCACCTACGCCCAGTGGGCTGACACTCGATTCCCTAGCGAAAGCGGCCCCAAGAGGGGCCAAAGGAGGGAACCACGAACCGATCATTCGATATTTGTGCCCCGAGAAGAACCCAGGAGGCCCCAAGAGGCCGCCAAGAGGCCCCAAGAGACGCCCTTTCGTTGCCGTTTCTGTTCTTTTATCAGACAGGGCCATGCCCAGCAGTGCTCCAGGTAGCCATGATCACACAGGGCCATGTCCAAAAAGGGTATCTCATTGAGGGAAATGGATATTTGTTCTGCTTCCCCTCGGGTGCTGTGAGTTGTTTGCTGTGGTCTCTGGACCTGCGCGGCGGGTTCGATCTGGGGTCCCCGAGGCCGTTCTTTTCACTACTGCGTGTGTGTCTACCTCCCCCTGCTTGCACGGCCGTGGGGCGCTGGAGGTTATTCTCCCCCTGCGGTGACAGTTGCTCAGGGGGGCCGCTCAATCTCCAATGTTTCGCGGTCGCTGGACTCGCGCGGCGGGTTCTATCTGGGGTCCCCTGAGGCCGTCCTTTTCACTGCTGCTTGCTGTCCACCACCCCCTGCTTGCACGGCCGTGGGGCGCTGGAGGTTATTCTCCCCCTGCGGTGACAGCTGCACAGGGGGGCCGCTCAGTCTCCAATGCGTCGCGGTCGCTGGACTCGCGCGGCGGGTTCGATCTGGGGTCCCCGAGGCCGTCCTTTTCACTGCTGCTTGCTGTCCACCACCCCCTGCTTGCACGGCCGTGGGGCGCTGGAGGCTATCCTCCCCCTGCGGTGACAGCTGCACAGGGGGGCCGCTCAGTCTCCAATGCGTCGCGGTCGCTGGACTCGCGCGGCGGGTTCGATCTGGGGTCCCCGAGGCCGTCCTTTTCACTGCTGCTTGCTGTCCACCACCCCCTGCTTGCACGGCCGTGGGGCGCTGGAGGCTATCCTCCCCCTGCGGTGACAGCTGCACAGGGGGGCCGCTCAGTCTCCAATGCGTCGCGGTCGCTGGACTCGCGCGGCGGGTTCGATCTGGGGTCCCCGAGGCCGTCCTTTTCACTGCTGCTTGCTGTCCACCACCCCCTGCTTGCACGGCCGTGGGGCGCTGGAGGCTATCCTCCCCCTGCGGTGACAGCTGCACAGGGGGGCCGCTCAGTCTCCAATGCGTCGCGGTCGCTGGACTCGCGCGGCGGGTTCGATCTGGGGTCCCCGAGGCCGTCCTTTTCACTGCTGCTTGCTGTCCACCACCCCCTGCTTGCACGGCCGTGGGGCGCTGGAGGAAATTCTCCCCCTGCGGTGACCGTTGCACAGGGGGGCCGCCTATCCTACCGAGAGCGTCGGGACACGAGGGAGGTCAGCCTCTGTCCTCCCCGTCCTGTGCATCCTGTCGCCTCCCACCCTTGGGCCCTCTCCTGGTTCTGCACAGTCTCTTGGTCGATGCAGGCCCGAGAGGGGCTTCCGAGGCATGCAACAGTGGCTTACGTCTTGTGCAGCCGACGGATACCCTGTTGTTGGCGCCCGAGCCGAGGGTCGATCCCTGAGGGGAGGGGGCCATAGTGGGCGCTCCGAAGGAACTCGCGAAGCCCCCTCCCCCAAGCGGCGCTCGCCGGGGCGAGGTCGCCCTATTTTCTGCACCTGCTGCTCGGTGCATGTTGATTACAGCATTTCCAACAGATGCTGTAAGGAGTCGCCTGTTTGGCTGATGTGATGAAGCCGTGGAGGACAAAGAAAAATCCCAAGAGGCCTCCAAGAGGCCCAAAAGATACCCCACGAGGCTCCAAGAAGCCCCCAAGAGGCACCCAAACCGCCTCCAGAAGATCTCTGAGAGGCTCCCCACGACACCCCAACATATGTACAAGAGGCCTCAGACCCTCAACCCAGGAACGGTTGCAGGATGGGCCGAAGGCCACTAGGATAACGCCAACGTCTCAATATGCGCTGATGATTCCTATCCGCCCCCGCATGGTGCTCCCAGATGCGCCAAGGCAGCGCCGAGACGCACCGATGCGACTCTGTAGATCTCAGTATGATAGAGAGGGGGCCGGCGGCAGGGGGCGAAGCCCTTACGGATAACGATTGGTACAAGCACCTGCACACAACCTTTGGTCTAAACGCTGATGTCATGTACGGGGTTCCACTCTTGGTATGTGCTCCTTGTAGGGACGTTCTGCCCGAACATTGCAGCGAGAACGTCAGGATGCAAGAATATTCGCGTCCAACCGCCAGGAACTAGCCTCCACGGACCAGCCGCCAGACCCTGGGCCCTAAGTAGAAGACAACAGCGGAGTGGTTTGCGCAATTGGTGATCTGATGAACTCATCGGGAAACTCCTACAACTAAAACAAAGATGTCGTCTGCTGGTGGCATGCATTGAAACCTGACAGGTCGATGACTCGCAGCACCATATCATTGATTTGCATGCTCGCACGGGTTTGCACACATAGCGGCGTAAATGCACGTGGAAAACCGTCGCATGAATTCCCACAGACATGCTATGTCGGGTGTTGCAAGTGGCACGTGTGCGCGTAGGTGCGTATGCTTGTGTGTGTGCGTGTGTGTCGGTGTGCGTGTGTGCAGTGTGTGGTGTGCGGTGCGTGGTGTGTGGTGTGTGTATGTTGGACGCCCAGTCGCCGCACGCGGGGCCACGACGTCCAAAAAAAGTGTAAGTGTGTGTGCTGTGTGTGTGCTGGTGTATGTTGTATGCTGTGCGTGGTGTGTGCGTTGTGTGTTATGTGTTGTGTGCTGTGTGGTGTGGTGTGCGTGTGTTGTGTGCGTTGTGTGTTGTGTGTTGTCTGTGGTGTTTGCTGTGTGGTGTGTTGTGTGTTGTGTGGTGAGTGGTGTGTGTCGTGTTGTGTATTGCGTGCTGTGTGTCGTGTGTGCTGTGTGTGGTGTGTGTTGTGTGTTGTGCGTTGCGTCTGTTGTGCGTGTGTGTGCGTGGTGTGTGCTGTGTGGTGTGTGGTGGGTATTGTGTGTTGTGTGATGTGTATGTTGTGTGGTATGTGTGGTGTGTGTGTTGTGTATTGTGTGAGGTCTGTGAGGTGTGTGGTCTGTGGTGCGTTTGTGCGTTGAAGGTAATGTGGGTTGTGTGTTGTGTGGTGAGTGCGTTGTGTGCTGTGTGTTGTGGGCTGTGTGGTGTGTGCTGTGTGTGTTGTGTGTTGTCTGGTGCGTGTGTGTGTGTGGTTTGTGTTGTGTTGTGTGTTGTGTATTGTGTGGTGTGTGTGGGTTGTGTGTTGTGTGTTGTGTGTTGTGTGTCGTGTGCGTGATATGGGTGGTGCGTATGTGTGTTTGTTGTGCATGCTGTGTGTGTGTTACCTTGTATTGTGTTGTGTTGTGTGTGAGTGTGGGTGTGTGTGTGTGTGCGTGCGCGCGTGCGTGCGCACGTGCGTGCGTGCGTGTGTATGGGTGTAGGTGTGTGTGTGTGTGTGCGTGTGCGCGTGCGTGCGTGCGTGCGTGCGTGCGTGTATGGTTTTTGCTGTGCGTGTGTGTTTGCGTGTGTATGTGGTGCCTTCCCGGACGCGCGAGCGGATTGCCTCTGCCGCGCCGCGGCGTAAAGAAGTGCGCGTGTGTGTACATCGTGTGCGTGTGAATGTGTGTGCGTGTGCGTGACACCGTCGCCCGGGTTGCCTGGACGCGCGTGCGCACTGCCCCTGCCGCACTGCGACGCATAAGAAGTGTGTGCGCGTGTGTGCGAAGTGTGTGTGTGTGTGTGCGCACGTGCTCGTGCAGGGTGTGCGCTGGGCGGGCGGGAGGGGGGCGCACGGTGCGCGTACCGAGTGTGGACCGTGCGGGCGGGAAGGGGGGGAATCTCTGCAGCACCAGATGCTGGGCGCGTTCGGGATCCCATGGAAAGGGAGGAGCGGCAGAGCACATGTCGCACGGCAGACGAGAAGAAGGCTCCGCACTTGCGGCTCCCGAAGAACAGTGGTCAACTTCGTCGTGCAAATGTGAGAGTGCGTAAGATGCGCTGCCTGGGTGTCATTAAGGGCGGGGCCTGACGGGGCCTCTGGAGGCCTCCGATAGTCTTGCAGGGTCCCGTCAGAGATCGGAATTATCAAGTTCGCCCATAGCAAGAGTAATTAACGACGGTCCAGCCGTCTCCTCCAGAAATACCAGAAACATGGGGTCGTTTATGCTGCCCGTGGCACTTAGCCACGGGCGCCAGGCGAGCGTAGGAGCACATGCGAAGGCAGAAGAGAAGGCCGCCGAACTTTCCGGGCCCTCGCACTCCAGAAGCGGCCCATGTCACGTGCGAGGCGCAGCGTCAACAGTAAGCGCGCGAGTGATGCTCGTGCCAAGAACCGTCCGCGCCGCCCGCAAAGCTACTTGGTACTATGCGGCGGCAGTGCCCCAAACAACTCGGTCGCGCCCCCGCACTGCCTGCAGGATGGCGCACGCCAGCGCAAGGCGCATCTTCCAGCCTCCGCTAAGCTCGCCCACGTTCTTCCTGGGACAGATGAAACGAAGGGCGTCGGGCGGGGGAAGTACACACCGGCATGCTCAGACAGAGCGTCAAGAGCAGTCGAAACCGCGATCAGCATAGGTCGAAGCAACTTGCTCGAGATCAGCGCTGATGACAAGAGAAGATCGAAGAGATGGGCAATAAAAGAAACATGAGGCAATATATAAGATATACACCTGCCTTTTGAAGCGCAAGGCTAAGTAATATTGCTTCTGGACTTCCACTAGGGGGGGCCCGCGCGGACAACAAACGACAAATGGGAGCACCTCAGCCTGCTGGCCGCGTTCTGCTGCTTTAGTGCTCTTGTCGGGAAGGGATGCCAATCCAATATCATGCTTTTCAGTATGAACCCCGAAGCAGGGGATCATTGCACACTCGATGGGTGTGCACTCTACTACGCCACGAAAATATACACTGACACCCTCCGACGAATTGTGCATGTACCTCCAGGGAAGGCGTCGGTGTATAAAGCCGCTGGCTCTCAGTGGTGGCTCATACACCGCACCCTACCCTGAGGCCCAGGAACAGTCCAGTGAAGGGTGCCTGTGTAGATATTTCGAGAGGCGGATCTACGCAAAGAGTCGCTTGAGACAGTTCAGGCCGTGCAACTTGCGAGGTGCACGCGAGGTGGTGCAGGCTGCGTGTTTTTGTTCCTGCGAAGCTCTGCAACACTTCTTGTGACAACTGGAACTCTCGCTGATGGAACTCACTGTGAGCCCACAGCGCTGCCCCGGAAAAGAGCACGCCAGAACACGAGCAATCCGCCGACCCTGCCAGGAGGCCCTCACGAACACGGCAAAACTTGACTCCTAGAGCCTAATTCGAGGATCGTCGGCCACTCGATTCTCCCCCGAGGGTACCAGACGTATGTGGCACAGGTGGGCGGCGGCCGCAGGGGGCGCTCGCTGCTACTCTGCCGCGCCGCTCGTCGCTCCCAAGCCTGATCCCAAACTCCGACCTCCGCCAGAACACCCGCCGACCGTGCAGGCTGCGTGGTGCAGCCTGAAGTGCTGGCCAGCACGCGAGGCGGGCACGAGGCGGACGCGGCCGGGCACCGCACATTAGACCCGAAGAGCCACCCGGGGCGCACCGGAGGAGCGGGCACGGGGCGGGGCCCCCTGGCGGGCACGGGGCGAGCAGCGGGAGACACGCGGAGGCGGGAGGCCTGGAAGTGGGCACCAACACTGACACAGGGCGTTGCCTCCACAGGGGGAAGGTGATCCCAGATATCGGGGATTGGTGGCAATATTTCGGTCACCTTGGAAGCCAGAATACTACCACCATCACCGAGATCGGGATCTTCTTCCCTCGGTGGAGGCACACCGCCGATAGTGGTGTTGGTGTCAACCTCTAAGCCTGCGACACGGAGCGGCCGGATATGGGCGGACCACGAGCAGAGAAATCCAGAGCGTGCGTCCAGCGCACGAGGCGGGCACAGGGTGGGCACCAGGCGAAGTGCCGAAAGCGCCGTCCCTTCCGCACGGGTGGGCACCGGGCGGAGGCCCAGAAGAACGCAAGGCAATGCCCAAGACGAGTGGGAACCCTTAGTGCAAGCGCTGCTTCGGGCACCAAGACGGCGCAAGAGGCCTGCAACACGGCCACAAGGGGCCCCGAAGAGGGCCTCAAGAGCCCAAGACGGTCGAGGATAGCCCCAAGATGCCTACACGATAGCCGAAGGGGGTCCCAAGAAGCTCCCGAGAGAGCGAACCTTTGAAAGCACGCAATGCATGTCTTCAGCATGTCCAAGATTCTCCTCCTGGAATGTCCCGACATCGCCTCAACACGGCCCCCAGAGCCCTCACGTACTCCCCACGATTGCCCAAATATGGCCCCACGAAATCAAAAGATACCGCCAGGCAAGATGCTCCCAGGAAGGAGCCCAGAATGGCCCCCAGAGGCCGCAATCAGATAGGACGAGTATTTCACAAGATGTTTCCAAGGTGGCCCGAGAGGCCCCCAAATGCACCCAAGAGGCCAAATATGGCCCAAGAGAGTCACCCAAATGAACACACATGGCCATAAGGTGGCTCTGACGGGGAGGTGGGCGCGGCAGCGGGCGCAGATCTTCAGATACTAGAGATTGGGGAGATAAAAAGATGAGAGAAAAGAGCGAGGGAGAAGGGAAGAGGAGAGAATAGACCAGACACGATAAATTTCACATGATATGCAACAGGCACTTTACACGGTCTGCAAGCAGCACATGCGAAGGGAAACTGTGAAAGTTCAACGAGCGCGAAGCCGAGGACATCCCCGGCCCGACGCACTGCCAGACAGGTCTGGCGCAGCTGGAAGAAGAGCACGTGTACCGCGCATGAGCGAGGAGCTCGAGGGACGTTCGGTGGCAACCCATGAGAGCCTCGCATACATCTTGTCGGCTCTTGCAAACCGACGCTTCTCGACGCAGAGTCGACGCTAAGTCGACGCGAAATCGACGCTCATCGACGCTAACCGACGCTAAATCGGCGCTATACCATCGACTCCCAAACGCTAATCGACGCTAGTCGACGCCAAAGACAGAATTACGAGGGTACGCAAGGCTCCCATGTTTTGTTACCGAAAGGGACTGAGGTAGGAGCTTGCAACTCAAGTGTCTACCACTCCCCGCCTGACGCGACAGTGCACGGCTCTGCTTGATCATCGAGCGTGAGGAGTCGGCAGGGAGGCTTCGCTTGATCCTCGACTGGGCTACGGGTTTGGATTCCGATAGTGGTGAAAGCACTGGTTATGATGTTTATAGCGTGCCGCCTGCACAACTATTGTACGCAAGAGGATGGCGAACTCGAGAAGGAAGATGTAGTCCGGTCACAGCAGTCCGCGTGTGCGTGCAGCTTAGACGAAGAGTTGTCGGACGAATCCCTGCATCTCCTTTCTACGCAGTTTGAAGTTTTGCAGGCGTTGAAGTCGATGCCTCCTCTCTGCAGTGAGTTGTCACACCACGAAGTCAGAATGTGCTTGACAGCGCGAGGGACGCAGCTATGCATGTCCCCGGTAAAAGGTGGTATGCTGCAGAGGGCCTTAGTTGCCAGTGTAGAAAATAATTGCCAGGGGGTCGAGGCAGATTGAGCCCACGTAGACGACCTGTCGATAGCTTGGGGGTGAGTGGTTTCATGAATACATGTGCTCTTGGCGTTGACATGGGCGTTTCAAGCGAGGTTGCAGGGCCAGTAAGTGAGGTTCAGAGAAAGGGGAGAGAGAGAGAGAGAAAGAGAAAAAAAGAGAGAGAGAGAGAGAGAGCGAGAGCGAGAGAGGGATGGAGAGAGAGAGAGAGAAAGAAAGAAAGAAAGAAATAGAGAGGGGAGCAGAAAGAGAAAGAAGGAGAGGGAGAGAGAGGGAGAGAGAGAGAGGGAGACAAACAAGAGAATCAAACATATATACTCATAAGTGGAGTGGTTGTCTGCTGTCCAGAGCGGAGTGGCCAAGGACAACACCAAAACATGGTTAGGACGCGGTGGGAGATCGAATACGCTGTCTGCACGTCTCGTCATTTTTCTGCATATACCGTCTGCCAGTCCATTCTTCATCTACAGGGTCTAGCCTGCCAGATCGCTCACCTCAACAGTCTCACGTAAACAAATAATAAGTCCACTGGGCAGCGGTGTGTATTTATGGGTCCTAGATTCGAAAACGAAACAGCATCGTAGAAGCAAGCCGAAAGGTTGGAGCGGCAGCCTCACGCAGGCATGTCCCTTACGGGATTGACAGACCTCAAAAATTCCCGACGCCGCGTAGCCATCCCTGTCTCGTTGTCTGCGTCGTTTGCGCAGGAGCCCACCATTCCACGGGTGATAGGTAGTATCGACGGCGATTCCAGGCCTGACCACAGAGCGCAAGCAGAGGATATGGGGCAGAAGCATATGACAACTAGCACCGCCGTCTGCGCCCCTCCGACGTCCACGCTTTGTTTGTGACGTGCCCCCCCCCCCCCCCCCAAGGCTCTCGACTCATTCGCCGGGGCCGCTGTTCTTCCCAGCACTTTGTGTCCAGGTCCTGGGGACCCAAAGAGGGCCTCAAGGTGCTCTACATGACGAACAGTGTGCGTTCTCTGTTGTTCGGGACCTCTGCCATGATTCTCCTCCCTTGCTGAAGGGGCCCTGGGACACACAAATAAATACACAGAAATAACTGGGTTCCCCATATTTTCCTATATTTTCTGGGCTTTTGTCTCCCACCCCCACTTCCCATAGTTTCCCATCTTTTCCTGGGGATCGGCGATTAATTGTGCCTGTGTGTGTGTGTTTTTCCCTCCTGACTTGCCTCCTCTGCCCTGCCCATCGCTCCTGTACATCGCGTCGTCGAAGCCTGTGACCTGCAGCGCCTTCGCTACCGCCTGCAGGAGGCCAGATGACTCTGAGCGTGCGAGATACTGGTGGCACCACACAGAGACACACTATCAAGCGAACAACAAATCGTCACATCGATGCATACAGACATGCGTGCATGTGTTCCTTTACGGCCCAAAAAATCTTGCATTCCAAAAAAATGTGCCTACATTTCACGGTGCGGTCGTTTGTGAACTCCCCCCCGCCCAGCCGGAGGCATTTTTTGTCCAGCGCCATCGCGTTGGTGAATACGCGCGGCATCGCAACACGGTTACTTCTCATCATACAGTATTCTTCATGTCGGTCCACCTCCCCCTCCCCATCCTGCTCACCCCCCACACACACACACACACACACCTCATCATACGCATCATCTCTTCATGTTCATTCCTACTTCCTGCCTCGTCTCCCATGCCTCCTCTTCACCTCTTCCTCCCGACCGCTCGTCCTCCTCCTCCCGCCCCTCCTTCTTTTTTACTCAAGCTGGCCCCCAAGCGCTCCTCGACGCCCTCATCCAGCTCCTCAGCCTACTATGTACTCCCCTCCCAACCCCCCCCCTCCTCCTCCTCCTCCTCCTCCTCCTCCTCCTCCCGATCCTCTTCACCCCACCCCTCCTCCTTCACCTCCCCCTCCCCTTCCTCGCCTCTCCTCTTCATCCTTCATCCCTCTCCGCCATACTGCCTCCCCCTCCTTCTCAAGTACTTGTTATCTCTACATGCGTGTCTCTCCCCATCTCTCTCATGCTGTTTCCAAGGGAAACACGGGGGTCAAAGAGACTGTCTCGTGCAGCGCATCCTTCCACTGCACGCACCCCGCCTCTGGCCCGACGTCTACCGACCTCCCAGGACACAACTGTTGTCGCAGCGTTTGCCCTCCCACGCATCTGCTGCTGTCGCAGACGGCGGACAGACTCAAGAACTGTAAAGGCCACCCCAGGATCTAGGCTCGATGCTGCACACTGCCTGGAAACCAGAACACAGTCACCACCCGTATCATAAGGACGCGCGGTAAGGATGCAAGGGCCTTGGAGGGCCAAAGTGACGTTTTTCAAACGAGGCTGGCCAGTGAAAGTCGCTATGGATGGACCGGAAGCCGGAAGGGGCTAGAATGCAGGGGTACTCCTGGGAAGGTTGCCAATCCTTACTATGCGGGCTGACTGTCGGGGTGGACGCAGTGGAAGCGATGGGCGAGAGGGGGAGACTGGCAGAGGGGGGCGAGAGCAGACCCGGAAGAGGGGCAAAGCCCATGGCAGGGCCAGTGCCGGCGAGGCGCGGGAGCCGCCACGCCTCCTCGCTCGACTGCGGGCACTTCATCCCCACGAACTTGCAGCACGGGGTGGCCTTGTCCACCTCTGGGGTCGGCCGCCCTCTGCTGCCTCTGCGGTGGGGCCGCCGCTCCGCTCCGGCCTCGCTCCTGCGAGCGCCCCGGCACCGCACGCATCAGAGTCGGAAGTCCGAGGCCCTGCGTCGACTGCCAACCCCCCCTCCGCCTGGCCTGCGGCGCTCGGGGATCAACTGGCCCGGCACAATGCAACGCAAACCCGGCTCAGTCAGGCTTTGCAAGATCCTGCAAGACCCTGCAGGATCCTGCGCGCTATAGCCCGGGTCAGAACGCCCCTGGCTCTGCAGGATCCTGCAAGAGAAAGATCCGGAGCTCTGGATGACTCCCGTTTGCATGGAACCCCGTCTCAAGGCTTCCGAAGCGTGATCAGCCAGAGCCGCGGGGCAGCCGTTCGCCACGAATTGGAGCAACACCCCCTCTGAAGAGCCTTGCCGACCTCATCGGAATCCCCCTGGAGCCTCGGAACCAGGAGGCAGAGCCGCCCGAGGCAGCTGGGAGCCCTGGCGGCCCCGAACCGAGCCAAGGGAAAGGGCAGGGAACGGAAGGCACAAGGGTGTAAAGTGCGGCGCGGAGGAGCGACAGAAGCATGCGCTGGGCACATCGTGAAGCTGTGATGAGCCATGTGCGCCAATGAAAAACGCAGGACAGGTCGGCAGGGTGGGGAGGCAGGGCAACACATACTGAATGATGGGACTGCCTGTGCAGGGGGGCGGCTCGTGAAGCCTGTGCACGGTGGCAGAAAACGTATGTTGTACCTCGCACCGCCAACCGTGTTGGCAGACTGCTCACGCTGGACTCAGGCAACACAGCAAGAGGCGGCGTGCAGGCTGTCCACGCTGGCGGACAACTGTGCAATCAGTCGCTCAGCGCCTCCTCATCCAAGCTGCCCCCCCTTGAGACCCCTTCGGCGGATTACCGAAGCCAGGCGGCATGTAACCTGGTGCTGTGCTGCCCTGGAAGAAAAGCCAAAGGCGTTCGAGGACACACAGAGATGGCCAGCGCCATACGAAGAGAACATCCTGTGAGTATGCACCCTTTGAGGTGCGCTCCTTGTCGCCACCTAAGACGCCCCGGAGACGCCCACGACCCCCAGCGGCCCCACCAGGACTCCTGCGTGCTTCCGCGGGTTTTCCCTGCGCCGTGCCGTCGGCTGGCCTTGGGTGTTGGTGTCTTCTGGTCCCCCGAGTATTCATCGCTGGTGCCTCCGTATGCTGCAATGCATCCAAAGATCGGACAGCGGATCTACATGTGAGCGACGAACAAACAACGGATCTTACGCGAGATGGCATAGCGACCTTACGCGGTGGCTTACGCGGGCCGCCGGCGCGGCACGCAGATTGAAAACGAGGGCGCTCACGCGCGACCTTACGCGGGCAGCTTACGCACCCATGTCGGCGCAAACGACCCCGCTTGTTCTCGTCGCCCATGTGGAAGCGGTTGGCAGATTGGCAGGGACACGAGAAGGAAGCAGAGCAAAACCCTGACAGACGAGAGCGTACGGAGAGACTGCGCACGAGTGCAGGGTGTACGCTCTACACGCTGCGTCCTGGCCGCGTGTCTTCGCACGTTTGGCACGGGAGGGGGAGAGGGTGCTGCTGCACGGGAACAACGATGGTTCTGAACAGGTCATATACGTGTCCGCGCTATCGATCCAGGGGGATCCCGTGAGATGATCGCTCAGGCATTGGCTCGGGGGACGGTGTGCCATCCCCCAAAGGCCGCAGACTCACACTGGAAGGACCTTTCCAGTCCAGGCAGCGTGGCGCTTCCCCATCGCCCATGACCATGACCCGTCGATGGGAAGGCTTAGGACGCAATTACTGGGAGGTTCTCGTCGGAAAGATTAAGGGGGATTAAGCCCCAATGGAGCGCTGTTACGCCAGATTGGGCCTCGCATTAAGCGGGATTAAGCCGGATTGGGCGGGAACAAGCGGGATTAAGCCAGATTAAGCGGGATCAATCCAGATTAAGCCAGGTTTCGGACCAGGGCTAAATCAGAATTTGACCTCCCAGTAGTTGCATCCGAAAAAGGCTGTGCCTGCCGAGCAAGGCGTAGATGCCATGCAGGCGGGACTGCATTCTAGACATCACAAGCTACCGACACCGTTACGTACAGTCAACCCGCATAGGAAGGATGCGCGATAAGGATGCAAGGGCCTTGGACGCCCACTTCGAAGCTGTACGAGCGGGGCGCGGCCGACGAAAGCGGCGAAGGATGGGCCGAGGATGCAAGAATGAACGGGTACTCTAGGAAAGGTTGCCCATCCTTACTATGCGGGTTGACTGTACTCCCTAGACCTATCCCAGGGCACATCATGACCAGGAGCCCGCGGCGGATCCAGCCCAGACGACAAAAGCACTCTGGGAGGCCCATAAGAGGCGAGAAAGAAGGAAAGGCATCGGCAGTATCCTGTGACCGCATGCAGTTGATACACGGAGGCCCAAACGGGCTGGGCCTTGTCCAGGATGCCCTCATGCTCCAAGTGGTAGCACTTCAGGGAGCCCATCCCTTCGAGGTCACCCTCAGCGAGTGGTGTGGAGCGGGTGGGCTGGGCTGATCGTGTCCTACGCCTCCCGCCAAAGCCGCATGCCCCTCCTCCTTCCTCTCCTACTCCACCCTACACCTCATCTTCCTCCTCTTTCTCTCTCTCCGTCCCTCCTGCCCGCGGCTCTGCCAAAAGAACGAGAAAAACTGGCGAATTGAATGTGATTTGCTGCCGTGTCGTCCTCACGGCGCTCTGTGCCGTTTGGCGCTGGAATGTGCCTGCACCAGCCGCTCGTGCCTTCCGCTAAGGCTGCAGTCTCCGCATATACAGAAAAAACTGACTACCGAGAGAAGTACCTGGACTCTGCTTCCCTCCTCCTCCTCCTCCTCCTCCTCCTCGTCCTCCTCCTCTTCCTCCTCCTCCTCCTCCTCCTCCTCCTCCTCCTCGTGCCTGCACGTGACATATCGGGCCGAGCTGAGACACCTCATGGCGACGTCGTCGCAGGCGGAGCAGAAGATGCCCTTGCCCAAGCCCGCCTGGCTGAAGGACCCGTCGTCAGGCCCAGGGCCAAAAAAGCGCAGCGGCATCAAATCGGAGGCGCGCAGGGCGGCCAACGGCAACAACGCGCTGCACAACCAGGTGATGGTTATCGCCAAGCTAGTGCTGACCGACAGCCGCGCGCTGGCGGAGCTGACCACCACGGTGTACCGTGTACCGCACCTACGGCGTCAGCGCCGGCACCGACTTCGCGGCCATGAACGAGACGGCGGGCGCGAACTACAACAGGGGCTCGCTGGAATGAAAGAAGCGCCATAAAGCAGGATAACAAGTCGACTTCGCCACCAGGGGCCCGCCGTTCGTCACGATATTCATGACAGTGATAAACTGGGCGGATTCGCTACACAACAAGGACAGTATCACAAGAGAAATGGATGCTACCGCTGAAGCAGCTCTGCACACATCATGTGGCAACCATGTCGGCATCGGAAGTAGGATCGCTGGTGCTACATTGGCAGTGGAAGCGCAAGAAGTCGAAGACGGAGAGGCCCCGCGGCAGGCTGATCTACGCGCAAGACCAAGCGCATCCACATTGAGCTCGAAGCTAGGAGAGATCATCACGGAGAGAGCGTGATCCACCGCCGCTTTACTGTGGAAAATTGCCAACCTTTTCCTCCGGAACCCGGGGATCC